TTTTTTTTTTTTTTGGAAAGGTTTTCGCTATTTGGTGTGTGCGCTGACCAGACAGACAGAGAGAGACATAGAGACAGAAAGCGAGAAATTACCCCCCCCCAGGGGGGATGGTCACGCCGCAATCCCTTCTCCTCCATTCTCCTCTCGGGATCTTGGGCACGCACGCACATGTGCCCGGTGTGAGATTTAAGCCACTGGGTCCAAGACGCGAACCGCGGTCAACTACGTGGGAGTCCAGTGACATAGCCATTACGCTAACTGCTGGTTCCCTCAATAATATTTTATAATATACATCCCAGTAACTGCACATTATTTAGATAGCAATGTCTGATTTAAAGAAAAAAGATACATTTATTTTAATTTGCTTTTCTCTCTATAGCTCTGACAGATAGATGTAACCATTTAATGAACTCTGCATGTGATAGTGTTCATTATGAAACTAGAGACGTCCTATGAACAAGAACACTTTTTACTTGGTATTCTTCATTGAAAATATATCAAAATTTCTGTTTTCATAACTTCTAAGCATCAAAAGTATTTACAGAGGCTTCTAGAATCCTACTAAATATGTAGGTCTCTGAACCCACTGGAACTTAAATTCAGCATGCAGCAATGTCAGTGGCCGTACGTAACTTTAGGAATCAGCTGGGTTTACATTTGAATGAGTCATAAGTAGAGCAAGCACTGCATTGTACAAAGGCATGTGAAACAGATTGTGCTGTGTCATCTCCAGCAGCCAATTCTTTTGCTCTGTGGCAAGTATTTTTACAGTCCCTCATGTTGCTTCCCGATGTTCGGATTTTCATGAAATTCAACACACCATAAACTCTCTTCTACAAGCAGGAATCAAGAAGGATATGCAATTGGTTGCAATTGCAGCTCTTTCACTGTGTGAGCCACCAGGCTTCATACTCAGGAAAGGACTGCCTCAGGGCTCCATGCCATGACACCCAGAACATGCACTCTCTGAGGATCAGAGAACAGAATCCTCCATGAACATTTGCAAGAAGTTCTTCTAAATAAAAGGGTATCTGTTTTGCTTAAGAGTAAAACCTGTGAAAACGTAAGCACAGTGGTCAGAAAAAAAGCATCTTCTTGTAAGACAGAGGATGAAATACAATGTGCAGTGGTAGAAAGAACATGAATTTGGAACTCAGATGAATCTCATCAACTTTGTCTTTGTCTATTTGCCAACTATGTGCTTTTTGGAAAAGGACCTTCACTTGTTTAACCCCCATTGTTAACTATTAAAGAGTACCAAACAGTATCTACTTCAAGAGACTGTCCCACATACAAACCTACACATAAGCTTCTCCTCAGGTTTACATGGGAGGACACATTAAGCACTTCAGAAAAGCCTAAAATCCCCCATCCTGAGCTTATCCATAAGTCTTAGGAAGCCCTCAGAATATGGACTGGGGAGAAAGATAAGAACCCATTAAAGGCTTCTGCATTATCAGTGTGGATCAGGACATTAGCAACAAACAAGTAGCAAAATGGCGCATGGATAGAAGAACCCATTTTGGTGGTTGAAATAAAATGATGAATTCCAGAGCATGAAGATGCTCAAAGTCAGATGGCAGCACTCAGGGTTATGCTCCAGATGTTGGACCTGGGAACTAGTTCTATCCCAAGGGGGTTAGAAAAAGCTAATTAGACTATCAAGACCTCAGCAAAGGCAGGCGGAGGATTTAGATAAGACTTTAGTCCTCTAATACCAGGAGAGAACTAAACAAACAAACAAACAAAAAGCCAAAGCAGAGACAAGTCTACTTAGAGGGACTGGGGACAAACTAGAGTTTGGTTGACTGGTGGCTGGGTGGAATTCAGGCCAGATTCTTACATCTATGGGGAGACCAGAAGATGCACCCAAGTGGAAGAACCATGATCTAGTGTGACCGTGAATGACAGGCTCTGCAGGACCTCATCACATAGGGGGCTCTTTGGGATTGTAACTTGTTGAATTAGCCAATCAGGCTCTTTGGTCCTCTAATCACCATCAGCTTAGAGAAGGAGAGCACACAACAGAACAGGGCTTCTCATTGCTTCCTGATCATGGTAGGAAGCTGAATTTGACAATCTCTCTTCTTTTTCATTCTTTCAGTGAAATCCGGCCCAATTCCACTGTTCAGTGGGAAGAACTGTGTCGGCCTTGGGTCCCTGGCCCACGGAAGCTGATAGCCAGCATGAGCAGTGACTCCCTGAGACATGTGTACGGCGAGCTGGACCTGCAGATTCAAAGACGACCTTCCATGTAAAGGCACAGGAAGCTGCCATGGACCCAGGCGCTTGAAGCCTGGGCTAATGAAATTCTAATATAAAATAGCTCTTGCTTTAATATAGGAGTAAAGACCTAGACAGGACTGGAAAGTACCCCAGAGTAGGGATGTCACGTATTTGAAAGACACATGTTTCCAAACCCAGACTATTTGGCATGGAAGTTAGTTTTTTTTTAATCACTTCACCTTCCAAAAGATTCTGAACATTAGTTTTAATTAAGCTCTAATTAAGCTCTCACAGCTCATAAGAGTAAAAGTCTTCATTTATCATCACAAATGGCTACAGCCCCAAATATCAGAGGGCATCTCTTAGCAAGGGGATTGGCTCAATACCTGGCCTCCTTTCTCGGCCTTTTGGAAGTAACATACTTTCCATCAGGGAGAATCATGGGCACATCTTTGGGCCCTGGAATTCACTTTCCTTTTTTTTTTTTTTGGTTCCACCTTCCATGTCAGACTATTTTTTTCCCAGGAATTAAGCACAACATCATTATTCTTCCTGGCAAAGCCAAGGAAAGGTCTTTCATCTTACACCTGCCGCCAAGCAACTGCCTGCCAAGTTTCAGATTTACCTTGTGAGAAGATGTGGCCCCATATTAACAAATTGCATTTGTGGGAAATGTAATCACCTAACAGGAGATAAGGAAGCAGGTGCAATACTCGGGTCTATTACATAATGCAGTTTTGTGGTGCATTTTATAGGAGATGGCACACTGGCCTGATCAGCTGAAAACAATATCCCTTACTTTAACCCTTTCTGGGGTATAGTACTTGGAAGTAATGAGACTGGTTTGAGACTGGAAAGATGAAAAATATATTTCCTTCATTAGTGATGACACTCTAACATTTGTCTCGTAACATCCCACAATGATGCAGGGCCAACTCCTCATTTAGAGATAAAATAGCCAACCAAGTTAGAGACGCTGGCAGAGTTAGCGACCAGATATGGAGGACAGGGAGCCACTCATTCTCCGTTGTCCTTCATTCATACTTGCTGAGACCTCAGCCCAGCACTTAGGTGCTGAAAGATGATATGGACTCAGTCTTGCAAATAGGCAGTGCTAATTCTGATTCAATGACAGAGGACACCACTATTGTTTGGATTTTGCTCCAAGCCTCTGATGGACAAGGCTATGTGGTATTTATTTGCAAGGCTGATTTATGGTCAGATTTTCCCACTGATATGCTTAGGATAGGATATGTAGGTAAGTGCATTGTGATTCTTTGGGGGGAAAAAAAAAGAAAGAGGGAGGAATAGAGGAGAGGAAAGGAAAGGAAGAGAGAGAGAGAGAGAAAGGAGAGCCAGAATGGAATGTTCTGGTCAATAGAACTACATTTCTACACCTTTGAGACTGTTCCTGAGTCTTCAGCACTAAGTAATGAGGATTAGCTGGTCCCCTTTTTAGGTATACCATGCATAACTCCATTAAGTAATATCCCAGCATTTGCCAAGCCTTCCAATATACAATTTTAAAATGAAATGCATTTTGATAGACTGTTAGACTGGCTTAACTTGTGTATTCTTATTAACTACAATGTAATGGAAGCTTTCAATAAAGTTCAACTGATTATATTTGCATTGGCACACAAGCGAATGTGTTTCATTTTCATTCCAACACACTATTAACCACAACTGCGTGAGAAACTATCCTCCCTCCACAGTAGGGAATCCACCCTAGAAAGAGAGACAAGCGTCTGTCCTTCAAAGGAAATGACTCTAATAGGTATTGATGTCACAGTTAGCTTTCCTCACCTTTCTCTCTGCATTTAATTAACCGCATTCACTGAAGGAGGAAGTTTGCATATTTCATTCAAAGACCAACTTCTAGAAACTGAAAAACTCTCTGTGGATACTTCGTTATGAATGATCTCATAAACCATTACAGTCAATTAGTGGACAGTCAGAATGGAAGCCCATCTTAATGAATTCCTGTTAGGGTCTTAAAACAGGAATGGAACACTTACAACAAAAATGTATAGGTGATCCCATATTATGGTTGACATCACCGAAACAATTTCAGCTTAGATAGGACTTCAGAACCCTTCTTAACTCCAGGTAATAAGTACTAGTTGATTTGGAGTTAGCTTTCAAGATGAAACTTTATTCATCATGCCCACCTAAGGGGCCAGACCATCCTATGTAATAATACTATGACCGTAAAAGTCATATTTAAGTAATAATAATAAGCAATTTGTCTCAGCTAGCACCCGAAATGATGGTTCTAATTTCTACTTCTGCTAGTCCTCAGTGCTTTTAAATAAATATTTGTGTTTGAGCTTCAGTGATAAAATGTATTCATGTTTTCATAAGGTTCTTCCGGGTGACCTATCAAACAAACCTTAACAACATATACAAGATAGAAATATAGAATAGATAGATAGATAGATAGATAGATAGATAGATAGATAGATAGAACAGACAAATGTATTTCTTTTTCAAATAATTTTGCCTCTTCATCCTCCTAAAAGAAGCAAATATACATACTCCCAAATCATTAATGACGAATCTAGGAAGTTCTAAGAAGCTATGTATCACGGAAAATCAAGCTGGAGGTGGAGGTGGGCAGTGAAAACAAATTGGTTTCAGAATAACCACTTGCTGTAGACTCTTTAAATCTCTTGTCTCCTCAGAGTTTTAAGAACATTTGTGTTAAAATTAACTTCAAGACATAGACTAATCCAGCAAATAAAAATAGGTACAATTTATTTTAGAGAGTTTTTTTTTTTGCTATAGGGTGTATGCTTGCCAGAGACACAGAGAAAGTCAAAGAGACAGAAAGTGAGAAATTACCTTCCCAGGAGGGGATGGCCATGCCACAATCCCTTCTCCTCCATTTTCCTCTTGGAATTTTGGGCACACATGCACACAGGCCCAATGTGAGATTTAAGCCTGGAGCCACAGTTGACTGTATGGGAGTCTAGCGATGTAACCATTCCACCATCTAGAGTTCATGATTCAGATCACCATCTGAATATGGAGATGGGACCAGCAGTTAATGTAATGGCTATGTCACTGGACTCCTATGTAGTCAACTACGGTTTGAGTCCCGGACCCGGTGGCTTAAACTCACACCAGGCACATGTGCATGCATGCCCAAGATCCCAAGAGAAGAATGGAGGAGAAGGGACTGAGTGCAACAAGGAAAAAAAAAAAAAAAAAAAAAAAAAAAAAAAAAAAAACAGAAAAAAAAAAAAAAGGAAGAAAGAAAGAAAAGAAAGAGAATATGGAGATATGTATATATGGAGAGATGGAGAGACACATGGGGTTTGTGCCAGGCTCACTGACAATCAAAATCACAAAGTCACAGGTAGAGGTTTAACCCTTTAAGAGTATCCACCCTAGGTTATTATAAAGTCAAATTGGCCATTTGCCCTGATGCAGTGGTAATGCAATGCTCCATGATGCTGAAGCCACATGGGAAGGCTCTGGGTTCACGTTCCAAGGTCTCCCTACACATGCAAACCACGTGCATGTGCCTGTAATGCTGGCAGTGGACTTCGGTGTGAAGACTCTGTTGAGGGTGCCTCCCTCTCTCTCTCTCTCTCTCAGAAGAAATAAATTAATTAATTTTAAGTAAATAAATAATCATCCAGCATGATCATCCATCCATTCACTTTACTGCCATCTAGCCATGCCCCTACCACCCAGCCTCCCAACATCTATGCCTCTTTTTTCCCAACCACCTATCCCTTCATGCATTAGGTAGGACTACAGAACTCAAGAATCCAAAGTTGAAAAGTTCCATGGTCCCTGTTTAGAAAGAGTTCATAAGGCAAAAGAAAGCAAGACACATGAACAGATAAAGTACAACAGAATAGGTATGGTAATAAAGATATGCTCAGACTATCACAAGAATAAGGAAGGCGGGAACCAGCAGTTGGCGTAATGGCTATGTCGCTGGACTCCCATGTAGTCGACCATGGTTCGTATCCCGGACTCGGTGGCTTAAAACTCACGCCAGGCGCGTATGCGTGCGTGCCCAAGATCCCGAGAGGAGAATGGAGGAGAAGGGATTGCGGTGTGGCCATCCCCCCTGGGGGGTGATTTCTCGCTTTCTGTCTCTCTGTCTCTCTCTGTCTGTCTGGCGAACGCACACGGCCTATAGCGAAAACCTCTCAAAAAAAAACAAAACAAAACAAAAACAAAAAAAAACAAAAAACAAGAATAAGGAAGGAAAAAGAAAAGAACACCTGCAGAAGCCTTCCCTCATGTCCCTGAGAATAAAGGAAAAAAGATTTCAATTAAATCTTAAAAAAGAGTGTAAGAGGTAAATTGGAGACCATTAACAGAGAGGAGCTCATAGAACAACCTGAAGTTAAGAATGAGCATGGCTTCCAATTAACTTGGGATGGCTAGATGGTGAATGACTCTCAAGGAGAGGCCAGGCCAGAAACACAGATATGGGCCTCAGCTAGAACGCTGCTGGGAAGGACAGTGTGCTCTTTCTGGGCTGCGTTACAAAGTAGAGATAGTGGAGGCTGCTAGCAAAAATCTGGATTCAGAACTGAAAACTACGGGTAGGTCAAGGAGTGATAGGGCTGGGAGAGTATGGGGTGGAAATGTCTAATTGAGGTCAGTGGGGAAAGTGTCAGATGGGGTGTGGTCCCTGCTAGGTTCAGGGATGGTATTTCAGACATACCAAGATTCAAATTAATAAGGTGGGAGAAGTAGCATGTACGGACCTGTCACTGTCAAAAATTAATAGAAGTGTGTGGCAGACAAGTTTCTAGAAGTTAAAATTGGGGCAGTCCAGAATTCACCGTAAGTTGGGACTGTTGAAAACCCAGGTCCTGCCCATAGAGTCATTCTTACCTCTTCAAGGCAAAGTTCTCCAACTCAGTACACAAGAGAACCTACTATTTCTGAAGACACTCCTTCCCATCTCGGAACAAGTTAGTCCTTCTGTTCTCAGTCCCCCATATTATGCAGACTCAGTTTTATGCTTATATAATAAGCACTTACTATTCTATATAAGATTGAAAACTAACCCCCCCCCCAATTTTTTTAGTGTATCTGGAAGAAATTGCTTTGTAAAAACAAACAAAATAAATGAAAAGCAAAGCACCTCAGTTGCATCAGGAAAAGAAACAAAGACATTTTAGTTAGCTCAATTGCCAAGAATTACAATTAGCATTTTTTTAGCTCTAAAGACAGGGGACATTTTTAAAAGATACTTGTAAATTTTGCTGCTGATGAAATTCATGAACTCCCATTAATTTTACAGAAAGTATTCTTCTGGGGCTTAAGTAATCATCTAAACAGTGTTTTACCAGCTCTGAAACTCACATAATGGGTCCTGATGAGTAGTTCCTATTAGTAAAAAGCGTGAGCCTATAACACAAAAGAACACTTTCCTCTTCTCCCTGGTTTGAGCAAGTTTAGATTGTGGGAAATTACAACATGAAAAAAAAATTACAGTCAGGTTTAAAATGTGTTACCCTAAGGTGGCAGATTTTAAGTGACCATCAAATGATTACCACTCTTCTCATTCATGGTTGGGCAGTGGGGAAGGTCTATATTCTGTTGCCTCCCCTTGATTCTAGGCAGACTGTAAGACTGCTTTGACTGACGGAATGTGGAAGGAACCATGCAGCCAGTTTTCAGGCTTAAGCCTCAAGAAATTGGGCAGCTTCTGCTTCTTGTATCTTGAAGTTCTTTTCATAGACACCCTGAGCATCTATATAAAAGTTGAACTTCTCTGAGACCATCTTGTCGATGAAGCCACACATAGATGCTCTAGCCATCCTAGCTGAGCTCAACTCTCAGCTCCTCCTCCAAAAGACCAAGATGTGATCATGAAGCCATCTTGGGCCCTCCAGAGCAGTCTATCTGCCAGCAGAATACCATTAAATGACCTAAATCAATGCCACTTGAACAGAAGAATCACCCTGCTAAGCCTTGCCCAATTTCTGCCACACTAAATCATGAGATACGATGAAATAGTTACTGTTTTAAGCCATTAGGTTTGAGGTAATTTGTAATGCAGTAAGACATTACCAGACTATTTTGCCTAACAATGTCATGAAAGAGCAAAGTACTGATTCTCAGTGTTTTTGAGCTTCATCTTTTCTCTCTGATAAATACATACAGATGATATGCAGATTTTTTGCTGTTTTTCAGCAGCTATCACATATTTCAAAAGATGAGACCCAGCTGAGGCCAAATGAAAGGTTTAGGTTCAGCTCCCTGTACACCCTGAAAGGCTGGACTCAGTGACATACTCCTGAAGTTTCAGTTATTTAGGAGGCTGAGACAAGAGGATTACCAAGTTTGTAGCCAATGTAGGCAACATAGCAAGATCCTGTCTGAAACATCTGGGCATGACGGTGTGTACCTGTGAATCCCGCTACTCAAGAGGCTGAGGCAGGAAGATCAAAACACAACAAAGCCTGGTCTAAAGACGAGCAGATGGCATAATGGCCATGTCGTGGGACTTCCATGTAGTCGACCGCGGTTCAAGTCCTAGACCCGGTGGCTTAAACTCACACCAGGCATGTGTGCATGCATGCCCAAGATCCCAAGAGAAGAATGAATGAGAAGGGACTGCGGCATGGCCATCCCCCCTGGGGGGTGATTTCTCGCTTTCTCT